CGGGTTTCCAGCATTTGTGTCCGAGGCTAGGCAAGAAATCCTTGCGAACTTCTAAGTAACAGAGAATCCGCCCTGAAAGTCTGCAATAACCTGCAATAGAATGACATAATATTGAGGAATTCGCTATTTCAAAATCTTGTTTGGGAGATGTATGGAGCGGATGAAATTATTGTTTTAGTACAGAACCGGTATTTGCTAAAACTGGCCGGGTTTCCAGCATTTTTGTCCGAGGCTAGGGTAGGCAAGAAATCCTTGCGAACGTCTAAGTAACAGAGAATTCGGCCTACAAGTCTGCAATAACCTGCATTAGAACGATATAATACTGAGGAATTCGCTATTTCAAAATCTTGTTTGGGAGATGTATGGAGCGGATGAAATTATTGTTTTAGTACAGAACCGGTATTTGCTAAAACTGGCCGGGTTTTTTAACCGGGCAGTAGCGCATTGCTTGACAGAAACATTTACTCACATTTTTGTGTTTCTTTTTTAAAACACACGAAAAGGACACCCAGAAGGAATTGTCTAGCATACTTAGGTTCGTAAATGTGTGATGTCCACGGCTAATAAAATGTAGCCAAGCTTACAGTGCGAGAAAAAAGGGACAAATTCTGAAAATGAAGTAACGTGCTGTAGGTGTACGTGTGACCCGTCTGGCATTGTGTCCGAGGCTAGGCTAGGCAATAAATCCTTGCGAACTTCTAAGTAACAGAGAATCCGCCCTAAAAGTCTGCAATAACCTGCAATAGAATGACATAATATTGAGGAATTCGCTATTTCAAAATCTTGTTTGGGAGATGTATGGAGCGGATGAAATTATTGTTTTAGTACAGAACCGGTATTTGCTAAAACTGGCCGGGTTTCCAGCATTTTTGTCCGAGGCTAGGGTAGGCAAGAAATCCTTGCGAACGTCTAAGTAACAGAGAATTCGGCCTAAAAGTCTGCAATAACCTGCAGTAGAATGACATAATATTGAGGAATTCGCTATTTTAAAATCTTGTTTGGGAGATGTATGGAGCGGATGAAATTATTGTTTTAGTACAGGACCGGTATTTGCTAAAACTGGCCGTTTTTTTTAACCGGGCAGTAGCGCATTGCTTGACAGAAACATTTACTCACATTTTTGTGTTTCTTTTTTAAAACACACGAAAAGGACACCCAGAAGGAATTGTCTAGCATACTTAGGTTCGTAAATGTGTGATGTCCACGGCTAATAAAATGTAGCCAAGCTTACAGTGCGAGAAAAAAGGGACAAATTCTGAAAATGAAGTAACGTGCTGTAGGTGTACGTGTGACCCGTCTGGCATTGTGTCCGAGGCTAGGCTAGGCAATAAATCCTTGCGAACTTCTAAGTAACAGAGAATTCGGCCTAAAAGTCTGCAATAACCTGCAATAGAACGATATAATACTGAGGAATTCGCTATTTCAACATCTTGTTTGGGAGATGTATGGAGCGGATGAAATTATTGTTTTAGTACAGGACCGGTATTTGCTAAAACTGGCCGAGGCTAGGCTAGGCAAGAAATCCTTGCGAACTTCTTAGTAACAGAGAATTCGGCCTAAAAGTCTGCAATAACCTGCAATAAATATAGAATGACATAATATTGAGGAATTTGCTATTTTAAAATCTTGTTTGGGAGATGTATAGAACGGATAAGATTATTGTTTTAGTACAGGACCGGTATTTGCAGACGGCACCTGGGCAAGCGCGCGGGGCCGTCTAGATCCATTTTCCGTGCCGTCACGGGAGGTCATACCGTCGGCACGCCCAAGCAGGCGCGTGGGGCTTTGTCGATACCTTTCCCGCGGTACAGTTACAAGAGGTGTCGCCGTAGCCACGCCCAGGCTGGCCCGTGCACGTTGGGCCGTCTAAATCCATTTACCGTGCAGTCACGGGAGGTCATGCCGTCGGCACGTCGGCCATTTACGTAGCTTAATATAAGCTTAAATATTCATTTTTAAGCTAACGTTACGCACACTTAAATGCATCTTATTCAAAACAATTTAAGGTAACTGCCAAAGTCATACTTATCTAAGTCTTTATGTTTTAAACGTAGTGAAGAACACATGTGGAGTACACTGCTGCAAATCAGTGCTTTATCTTTACTGCAACATTAAGCGACCTTAAAGATCAAGTAAGGATTCGTTTATGTTTAAGTAAACTTTACGTTGTTCTTTAAGAGAGTGTAAAGATTGCCTGCCGATTGTGGCATTTAAGATGGCTTAAGTGTGACTTAAATAATGCTTAATTATTTTGAAATATTTAAGCCTTATTTACGAACACCATTAAGGATGCTTAAATATCGTTTTTCGTGCAGTGATTGGTGGGCCCTCTCCAATGTACAATGTGTTAAGTATGGGCATTGGTGTAGCCTGGTTACCAAACCTATTATAGCTCCCGAGTCCTACATCCTCTCCGCAAAGGATGTAGGCATTGGTGGGCCCTCTCCAATGTACAGTGTATTAAGTATGGGAGGATTTTGACCCGCTCCCATGTACAGTGCATTAAGTATGGGCGGTTCTTGGCCCGCTCCAATGTACAGTGTATTAAGTATGGGCATTGGTGGGCCCTCTCCAATGTACAGTGCATTAAGTATGGGTGGTTCTTGGCCCGCTCCGATTCTGCGTGCATTAAGTATGGGCGCGGTTCTAGATCTTGGCCCGCTCCCATGTACACTGAGTGTATTAAGTATGGGCATTAGTGGGCCCTCTCCAATGTACAGTGTGTTAAGTATGGGCATTGGTGGGCCCTCTCCAATGTACAATGCATTAAGTATGGGCATTGGTAGGCCCTCTCCAATGTTTTATTTCAATATGTCTAATTTGCTTGTGATTGCTCTATTGTTTAATATATGAGTTTTGCTATTTTTTCTGCTACTATTTTTTCTATTGCTCTATTGTTTGATATATGAGTTTTTTCTGGAAGTATCAACAGATTTCATGTTAACATGCAGGTATATGTACCAGGCAAGTTGATTTTAATAAATCTGAATTCGTACAAGATTATCTGCTAGGTGGGAAAATTTGCATTACATTTTTACTAGGTCTTAGACCTATCCCTAACCTGAAAATCAATTGAAAAATTTAAAAATGGGGAAAAATTACTGAAACATTCTGAACTATGAGTTGTCAGAATAGACCAGACAGGGAAACTGAGGAACCATGTTTTGTTTGCTGAACCTCCATGTATGGATTTGTTGTAAAGAAAAACAGGGTAGATTTAATTGCAAAGTTGGTGATGTTACGGCCCACGGCCTTTTTCTGACAGACCGGCTATCTTTCTATTCTGCCTTTTTCTGAATACTGCCGTTTCCCGAGCAAAGTAGTTGAAACCAGTACTTATATATCGTAAATTCACTGGCGTGCGTTATTCGACCTTGGCGGGTGGGTACTACGCCCGGCACCGTAGAGACTCCAGCCTGGATGCCAAACTCGTTTCGGGCCGCTAGCAATTTCTTTCGGCAGCCAAGAGCCCTTCCCCTGCCTATCTAAATTACCGTTTGCTTGGCTGGTCCTTTCAAGTTCTAGGGCCGGACAAACTCCCCTCGGGCTCAACTCCCCCGTAGTGGTAATTTAGATAGGCGGGGTAAGGGCTCTTGGCTGCCGAAGGAAAACGGCTAACGGCCCGATACTAGTTTGGCACCCAGGGTTTAGAGACTCCAGCCTACGGGTTAGTCTCCACCAGACTCCTTTGCGGGTTGAATAAATATCATAGCCTCTACCGGGCACCGCGGATCGCTGGAAAAATAATAGAAATTGGCCGACATAAAGGGATAGTATACCAGAGAAGATCTCGGGCCATAGAAGATCCAATTCGCGACCCAGGCTAGCGACCCCAGACAGGCCCCGTGGGTCGCGAATTGGATATTCTGTGGCCCGGGATCTTCTCTGGTTTTTCCAGCGATCTGCGGTGCCTGGTAGAGGCTATAGATATTTGAAATCTGCCTAACAAGGAATGTAACTGGCCGGAAGAGTTAGCCGGCCATAGAGGGTCCAGTTTGCCTACACGGACAATTGAACCTTCTATGGTTGGCCAACTACCCTGTCCAGCTCCTTTCCGTTTTAGGTCGATTTCTACTGTTTATTCAGCCTGCAAAGGAGTCTGGTGGAGGAGACTACCTACGAGTCTCCAAAAGCCATGATGTGAAACTCTTTCAGTTTACAATCATACGATTCTGTTTCACATCTCAACAACAAAGAGAGATACAATTGTCTGGGCTCGATCATACAAGAACTGCATTAAGCCTCGTAGGATTAAATTCTAAGAGTTTAATCCTCAGTGGCTCACTGTATTGGATTGTCTGCACCCACACACTGAGAACTGCTCGAAAACGATGAAAAGAGGATTGGAAAGAGCTTTAACGTTCTAAAACATGTACTAGATTGGGGACTAGAGGATTGCTAGTGACAGTTTTAATGTTTTAAAACATGAAAGTCCAAAACGTGGGCGGACGATTGAAAAATTGAAGCATTTTGAAACGTTTGAACAAACGCGGATTTAAAATTCATCCTGTAGTTTTGGTAACATTCTAGAAAACCTTGAAAACCAGCCTCCTGTCAACTCGCGTGATCGAGTCAGAGTTTCGCAGATGCGCCTGAGTTATCTATCCCATAGTTTTAGTACAAAAAATGTATTGAAAAAGCGTGCTTACTGCATTGACATGTTTCTAACAAAATAAGTAACTAAATAAATGTACAAATAATCAATTCTGGCAGATCCGCGCTCATACAAGCAAGCAAGCGCACAGTTCTCCTTATAAACTAAAATTAGTGATTCATTTGCTTTGTTTCTTGCTTGATACTACATACTTGCTAACCTTCTTCAACAGATCCATGAGTTGCTCAAGGGCACAAATGATGTTTGGAATTTCTTTCTACCTATTCAGTAATGTCTCTCACCTAATTATGTTTCAAGGAGAGAAACATGACTGGTTGCGCAAAAACAAAATCCCTATGTTCCACAAACTTGCAACAAGAGGCGAAGTAACAGGGAGGTCGACAAGGCAAAAAAATAAATTCGACCCTATTCTAGCACGTACGAAGCGGTACTTGCCCTATATAGTAAAACTCCTAAATGAGTTGTAAACGTAAACAATTAATGTATTATCTCTTTTATCATGTATATATTTTTATGTTGTAGAGATTGCAATTCAATTTTATGTATACATTCCTAGCTATAATGATATTTTACAGTTGTTAAAAGGTGGGCACCGATGTAAGGAAACATGCAATTCAGCCTCCGGGCTGCAAAATGTTTTTAATCAATAAAACCAGTCATCATCAAAACCAGTCATCATCAAATCATTTTCGAAAAACCCAGAGAGAGCCACGGACTTGTGGAGGAATGGGAAATGTAGCAGTCTTCGCTGGCCTATACTGGTCTGCGGACTGTTGGTGATTGCTTTAGTAATCATTACTGCTATCCTGGTGCCTCGTATTGTAGCTGCATCAAAGGTAGGCCATTTCTTGCTTATGCTTTATTGGTTTGTTTTAATGTCTTTCTGTCGTTTGTTTAAAGCTATCTAATGATGTACTGTACTTGGTGATAGCAAGTTCCACTCTGCGATATTTTTTTAGGAAAGGGTGACGTTTTGAACACCTCAATTCTTGGCTTATAATTCTGGTACATGAAGGCATGACTATTTATTTCTTGTTCTTAATATATGAGCTGGCATTGTAGTTACGTCCACCAGTTTATCAGTCATTTTGTACATCATGCATCATGCATTTTTGCCTGTCTTCCAGTGACACCCACTGTAGGTTTGAAGGAATGAAACAAATAGGTCCCTGAAAGCTAAAAATAAAGAAACTGGCTGCAGATGTGGGCGGTAAATATATAATCTGAGTAAGGAGTAGAATGCAGAAATTCAGAATTGGTAATAGATAAATATACATTTTAGTCGTTGTTAGGCAGCCTACAGTGTTCTTGTTGTGTTGGCGTGTCTGAATCATTCTCCCAAGATGGGAGCACTGCATGAAAGTGATCTACAATTGTTACCGACGGCTTTTGCAGACGAAGTACCCAAAGGACAACAGCTTGACGCTCACAAATGCCAGTCTCAACGTAGAGGACTTACAAATCAAAAACTTGCAAACTGGTAAATTACAATCTTTGAAAACCTTTTTTTTTAATTTGAACCAGTAAGATGGTGGTATTTTAGACTTTTCAACTGGATAAAAGTTTAACAGCCAAACGTTTGGAGTGTTATTCCAACATCCTTCATCAATAAAAGTTAAAACTTACTTGCACTTCTTTTCCTACAGTTAGTCCCCATGGTTAAAATGAAAACAATTTAAATACTTTGAATAGTACAATGTGTTGGAAGCCTTATGCTGTTTAACAATTTGTTTCAATTTTACCTAAAACTTAATCAGGCGATTAGCTGGTCACATTTGGTTAATTCTTGCCTCTTTCCATTGTTACACAGACATCAATGAGTGTACCAGGAACCCGTGCCAACACGGAATCTGTGTGAACAGGTATGGTGGATACAAATGTACCTGCTCACCTGGATGGACTGGACAGAACTGTCAGAAAGGTGAGTTGACTTCTTTTCCTAGAGTTAGTATCCTTAATGGTTTGAATTCAAACAATTTGACAAAACTTCCAGCAGAGAGATGTCAATGGCACTTTTGCCACCAAGTAGCACCTAAGTTGGCAAAACCATTTGCTAAACTCTAACAACCCAAGTTCAAACTTGAACTTGATTCTTTACTCAGCGCAAAACTTTGTAAGTGTTCTTCGGCTGCTAATGCTGAGTGAAAACTGATGTAGAAAAAAAAAACTGTTCAGCTGCCAACAGACAGTCTTTTTTGTCCTATTACACAGACATCAATGAGTGTATCAGAAACCCTTGCCATCATGGTACCTGTGCAAACCAAGATGGCGGATACAACTGTACCTGCGTACCTGGATGGACTGGACAGAACTGTCAGAAAGGTGTCAATTCAGTATAATTTTATAAAAAGAATAATCATCTATTTCTTGTTCTCTCTCTCTCTGATGTCTCTGTCCTTCTCGAAAGGTTAAATTCTTAATTTACGATTCTTATTAGACTCATTTCTTTATCCCACAGACATCAATGAATGCAATGGTACCAACACACCCTGTCAGCATGGCCGCTGTGTGAACAAAGCTGGTGGATACAAATGCATCTGCTCATCTGGATGGACTGGACAGAACTGTGAGCAAGGTGAGATACTTGTCTTTATGAATACTAGTAATATATTTCTAGGAAACACAGTGTTCCTATTTTGTCTGGTTTTTCTTTCTTCTTCCCTCGATCTGTCCTTTTCAATGGTTCTTGATTTATGATTAACATAAGATTTATTTCTTTATCCCACAGACGTCGATGAATGTACCGGAAACCCATGCCGACATGGAAGCTGTTATAACAAAGATGGTGGATACACTTGCAGCTGCTACAATGGATGGACTGGACAGAACTGTCAGCAGGGTGAGGTGTTTTTTCCCACTATTTTATTTCTAGGGGCGAAATTACGTATGGTGTTGAAGATACCAGTGTACTTATACATTTCAGTGTTATATTCACTGCATTAGTTGGATCACTAAAGTAAAAATCTATGAAAGAAAAAGACTCCTTACCTAGCGATTCTAATTTTAAGGGCCAGAAACACAACATGAATTTGCCTGGGCCTAACTAATTTTGGACCCTAGCTGTCGGCTTTCCTCCTACTGTAGCAGAAATTCTGGTTTCTTGCTAAATTATATGTGTACGTACATGAAAAGAACGATTTATCAAGAACGGAACAGATAAACACAAAATCGTCGCCTGTGTTTTCTTTTTAAAACATCATATTTGTTGCCTTAGGTACAGCTACCATGTTGCTTACCTTTGCTTACCTTGAATTTTCCTTTTTCCATCGACCATCCCTTCTTTTGTCTTTGTTGATATCGGACATATCTAGTACGCATGATGTGTTGTATTATAATGTATTTTCTATATCACACAGACATCAATGAGTGTGAACACAGGTCAAATTGCCAACATGGAAGCTGTATCAACCAACAAGGTTCATTCAGATGCACCTGTAGTATCGGATGGACTGGACGAAACTGTCACCAAGGTGAGCTTTTTTTGTCTTTATAGGTACATGTACTATTCAGGCCTCGAAATTATCTTCTCTTCCTATTGGCCCAGCACTGTCCCAAAAATAAATTTCAGTTGTCCCGAAATGAGGATGAACTGTCCTAACCTGTTTTTTTTGGAAGACCAACTTGAAGTCCAACTTTAGTTTGCTTATGTTCACTCCCAGGCGCACTATGATTGCAGTGTAGACATGAAATTCAGGGGGACTTTTCCGGATCAAAAAAAGCGTGTGCCTGATAAACAAAAGAAGGGCTGACATTCTGATTATTTTGTTATTGTCCCAAAAAATGTCTTCTTAGTTGTCCCAGCCTAAATTTTAGTGGTCAGTGGCCATTGGACCACCTTAATTTCAAGCCTTGATCTAATTATATGAATTTTCCTGTTTTCATTTAAGATCCTTTCTTTTTTTTTCTTTCAAATTTTTGGTTGATATTGGGTAACGTCATTAGCCTTTGTATGCCGGGGCTTCCATACTCGCTACCCTAGGAAATATTACCACATACTGAGAAGGACATTAGGCTAATGAACAAGACAGAAGGGACCAATCAGCACACCCGGCCAAAATCTGACCGAATATTCAATTTCCAGACAGTTGAGATCTAAGCGTCTCCAGACTATTTCTTAGGGTAGCGAGTATGGGAGCCCCAGCATACAAATAGGATGGCACCCAGGCTATAACGTCATATGGATGTATGATAATATTGTATTTACAAATATATTTGCTTATTTATTTGCACACAGACTTCAACGAGTGCTCGGGAAGGCCCTGTCACCATGGAAGCTGTGAGAACACTCCGGGTGGTTACAACTGCAGGTGCTCACGGGGATGGAGGGGAAGGAACTGTCAGGATGGTGAGTTTTAACCTGGTATCTGTATCTTTATCTGTATAGCCGGTATAACCGTCCATCGGCGTAACACACCAGCTTCTGTATCTGTATAGCCGGTATAACCGCCCTTCGGCGTAACACACCAGCTCCTGTATCTGCATAGCCGGTATAACCTAGCCTCCTTCGCAGTCTTGTTGGGCGTCGGCGTAATTTTTTCTCTGAGCGACGCGACTAATATGCCGCCGCGAGGGACGATTTGCTGTCGAGGGACTTTTTGCCACGGAGAGAAGGTTCGCGCCCCAACAAGACTGCGAAGGAGGCTAGGTATAACCGCCCTTCGGCGTAAACACACCAGCTTCTGTATCTGCATAGCCGGTATAACCGCCCTTCGGCGTAACACACCAGCTCCTGTATCTGTATAGCCGGTATAACCACCCTTCAGCATAACACACCAGCTCCTGTATCTGTATAGCCGGTATAACCACCCTTCAGCATAACACACCGGCTTCTGTATCTGTATAGCCAGTATAACCACCCTTCAGCATAACACACCGGCTTCTGTATCTGTATAGCCGGTATAACCACCCTTCGGCATAACACACCAGCTTCGCAGGCATGCGGCGCAGCGGCAGCTAGCTATATCACACCAAACGACTTGTTATACTCGATCTTTGCACATTTATTAATTGCAGGAGTTGTTTAAAGCTTTCTAGTGATGATGCCCCAACTGTGCTTGGTGGCAACGAGTTCCAGTCTGCGATCATTCTAGGAAAGAATGAATTCTTGACCACCTCTTGAACACATTTTTTAAATCCTTGGTTGATAACTCTGGTATTTGAAGGCATTGCTAATTTCTTGTTCTCTTCTGGGCTGGTATTAGGTACTTAGTAGTTGGGATGTCCACCAGTTTATTAGTCATTTTGTACATCATGCATAGTCTGGACAATGTAGCTCACTGCGTGTACTGTTTGCGTACAGCCATACCTTGCCCGGGCGGGTGGAAGGACTACGACCACTACTGCTACAAGCTGGTGACAACCTTTGTCAGCTGGGACAAGGCAAACTCGGCGTGTGGAGGGATGGGCGCAAAGCTGACTTCTATCGGGGGCAATGGAGAGAACAACTTCCTTTCAGATCTGGTCGTCAACGGTGACCTTAAGGATCGATGTAGGTATATTTACGGGCTTCATGAGTACAGTTTAGTAACTCATTATGTTTACAGAAGGAAAACATTTTGTTTATGCTCAGTTTCTACCTCTTCCTCTCCAAACAATGACCTATGACCTGACCAATGACAATAATTTGATTTGTTGACGTCTGTCACCACGGTGACTGGTGTTGGTGTTACATATTGTTGCAATTTCATCGTATGCTCTGCTCCTGAGACCATATACCGGTAGTACATGTATATGTGAATGTGTTTGAGTAAGCATTAACAG